TGCTGCTGAAAACTTGCCTGAAGTCTTAGGAGCCACTTATACTTTTGATAGTAACCTTTTTAATAAGACTCCTCGAATCACAGTAAAACAAGAGCCTGGAACCTTTGTTCTACATATTCTCAAAGCACAGCTGAGTGACACTGCATTTTACTACTGTGAGAAACTTGTTGAACTTCGAAGAACATTTCTGAATATTACTTTTCTGAGAGTCAAAGGTAAATGGAGCCGCATTCACCTTGTAGGTACTTGACATTGCATTTGTTTGTCTTGAATTTGTAGTCATTGGATTCAGTTCATATCTTTGTTATGTAACCACATGTTTTTACAATGAATTTGAAATTCAATAGGTTGAACGTCGAAGAACATTTCTGAATATTACTTTTCTGAGAGTCAAGGGTAAATGGAGCCGCATTCACCTTGTACAGTAGGTACTTGACATTGAATTTGCATAAGTCATTGGATTCAGTTCATATCTTTGTTATGTAACCACATGTTTTTACAATGAATTTGAAATTCAATAGAGTAAGCAGATAGTTTTTCACTCTTTTTCCAGGACCAGAACTTCATATCACTGTCTTTCAAGACTTCCCATCTGATCCAGTTCGTCCAGGAGACTTGGTGACTCTGCAGTGTTCAGTTCTCTTTGACAACAAAACATGTCTACAAGAACACAGTGTGTACTGGTTCAGAGCCAGATCAGATGACTCTCATCCCAGTGTCATTTACGCTCATTTAAACAGTGGTGATCACTGTGAGAGGAGTCCTGAGATTTCCTCTTCACAAAAATGTGTCTACAACTTGTCCAGGAACGTCAGCTCCTCTGATGCTGGGACTTATTACTGTGCTGTGGCCACGTGTGGTGAGATATTATTTGGAAGTGGAACTAAACTGGAGGTTGAAGGTAACCACTTAATTGTCATGTAAATTTGTCCAATCAAATTCACACAGTTATCTCATGAAGCAGCAACATTAAACAATGATGTTATTTTACTAGTATTTAACTTGTCCTTTGTTCCTTTTCCTAATGTTTCAGCAGCCGACATGTGGTCTTTCAGCGATTGTCAGAGAGCAAATGCAATTCTAATTCTGCTGTGTGTTGTATTGGCTCTAAGTTTGCTTATTTCCATACTGATTTATACCACCATGAAGAACAAGTATGGTTGCTTCAGTGGTAATAAAACAAAATCAATATACAATTAATTTTCAGTTTACAATGAAAGTCAGTGCATCCTTACATATTTACTGACTGTTCATGGTTTTTCATTCTTTAATCCAGCTGCTGCTTTGCAAACAAATGCTCCAACACCCCAGAATGAGCGACAAAGTCAGCAGGTAAGTGATTTTTAAAGGTATTTTGTTGGAACGTTTATGTTAACATCTGTTTTCTAATAATGTTTTCCCATATATTTATACAGACAGCTGAAGACTCTTTGGTTTATTCTGTGCCAAATTTTGCAAGAAGGAAAGCTGGCCATGATGTAAGGAGAGATTCAAATGTTGCCGAGGGACAAAGCATTTATGCTGATGTCAGGGTTTTGGAGTAGGAATAGCGACGTATACACAGAAGATCCTAAGTGATGTTTGTTTAATGCTTGTATATTATGATATTATATGGCATGAGTGTTCTTTTATTGTGAGCATTTGGATCCGAGCTATACATCTACTGGCTTTTAATTGTTTGTTTTATTTAAAACATTTTTTGTCATCTTAGTTTGTCAGCATAAAAGTAAAATAGTGAGAATGCTTTTATTATTCCATGAAAGGTTTTTTGGCAGTTTCCACACACTGCAATAAACGGAACAAAATCTAAAAAGAATATTTGATGTGACCAACCTTTTGCCATTTTAACACTCGTTTTTCAAGGTACTTTGTGGGTAGATTGTTTAAAGCATATTGAAGAACTTACTACAGTTCATCTGAGGATTTAAACTGTATGTCTCCTGTCTTTTTGTGTAATCCCAGCCTGACTCCATGATGTTAAGATCAGGGCTTTGTGAGACACTTCGTTCTTCTTGTTGCTGGGGATAGTACTTTATCACTTTGGCTGCATGTTTTGAACTTGGTGCCACACTACACAAAGAATCAGGGACCGGTTAGGTTCCTCCTTGATGGTGTTGAGAGATAAAAATTGTGTTGAATGTTTTCTTTCTTTTGCAAATAGTAAAATGGTTTTAACTCTGTGGTAACTAATTGACATATGGGATTAAAGAATGAAGTCTTCAAAATTTAACGTACAGTAATAGATTGTTTGGGTATCCGCACTGTGTAATTGAAGAGATGTTTGAACACAAGAAACCTAATTTTATAATGTTCAACCAAAAATCGACCTTGGAATCATATTTGAAAGAACTGGTTAATGTAGAATTGATGAGTAGGTCTTATGGTGACTGATATTGACAACATACTAAGTTTACATTTGGATTTAATTAACATTTTCCACTTTAAAACATTAAAAACCTGCCTTTGGTTTGATGTGATCAAGTGCATTATAAGTCTGACACAAAGAAAAACAAAGCTTCTAAATGTGATCAGACATTTAACAAATTATTTTTGTAAGTATGACTCAAAAGAAAACTGGATTTAACTAATGGAATATTGTTGATCCTGCTATCAGGCTGTTACTAAATTCACTTAGGTTTTGTGAGCTGCCGGGAGAAGTAAACTATATTCCACTTGCTTAACAAAGCAAAATTCAGAACCCTATCCTGTTGGTGGATGGTATAGTAGTGGTGAAAAAGTATGACACTTGGAGGTTTCAAATGTGCTCTCTGGTGTCAAGGCCAAACGCTTCTTCGGGCCAATAATTCACCTCAACTCTCTATAGCATTTGGTACAACTGTAACGACAATGTGCTGACCCTGGCTTTAAGAAAGGGCAGTCATTATTTGGAGAACCACGAGAGGTCACCTGTCATAAAACAGTTAAAACAAAAAAGTTATTTTAAGCATTTGAACAAATGACTGAGATGATTCCCTTGTGGTCCAGCACATTTTAGTTACTAAGAAGGCTTTCATTCCAACTCTGGCCCAGACAAAACAACCACACTAAGACATTTTGAAAAGCAAGGTGACAGTCCACTTCTAAGAGAGGGTCTGTCGAACATAAATGGTTAAACCACTGTCTTATTTGAGTGATTGTGTAAACTAAACTAAACCATGTGATGTGATTCGGTTGTTGCACATTACTTAGATGATTTGGAAACCATGATAACAAATACAATAAGAGTATTAGCAGGCGGCTGGGTATGAACCATGATAACAAATACAATAAGAGTATGCCCTAGGTTCTCAGAAAATGAAAGTGGCTTAAAACAGAGGTTTGTTGTGTATGTGTCCTACTTCATACACATAGCCATTTCCTTACTGAAAGTGTTAAGGAGTAACCACACTTTATTGTTTTTTAGAGCAGCCATTACCCCATCATACTGTCATATAAGACAGACTGTCTATGACTACACTGTGTCACACTTAAAGGCCTGAATAATAATGCACATTTTCTAAGGATGGCATTGTTTTAGTTAAGTTTTGTTTTGGTTTTAGGCTTAGAAACACTAGCAGCAACACTTTGAAGATCACTGTGTCAGTTGACTGATTTGCTGGATTCCCATGAAATTATGTTGGTATCATTGTCCTGAAAGATGAATCCTAATAATGTGATCCCTTGTCTTGTTGAGCTCCAACATGAATGCTAATGATTATGTTGATCCCCTGATGTATCGCCACTAGCAGGTCAAAGTTTGTACGTCCTGCAAGATATCTGGGCAAGTGATTGGTGCAAAATATGTTACAGGTATTCATGGTTCAATAGTAGTAAAAATAATACTTCAATAAGGAAAAGGTGTTACAGGAGCAGGGCAAAAAATACATAAAAGTAATCAAATTGAACATTTAAAAGCTAGAGTATAGTAAAATGCACAATGGAACAATAGTAATAATACTGTAATAAAGACTATGTTCTAAACATCATTGTTGTTATTGCTTAGCGTGTGGCCTAGGTGCAGCTTCACAGAGCTGCTAACATGGCTGCAGGCTCTTAGACCGGTTTACTAGTGCATTTGAAAAACACTGGTGATGCAGAATGACTAGTCACCAAAACAGTTCCATGAACATTTATCAGTTCAACCTATGGTTCATCTGTACACTAAGTCCCTGTGGACCCAAAACTGATTCGAACAAAAGGAATCAGTGCATTTTTTTTTCTTGAACCAGCCAGAGGGAACTAAATGTGAAAGGTGAAGGTGTGAAAGCAACCTCAGGGACTGATCATAAGCAAATGGATACTGCGATTTAAGTATCTCTGTAGTTTTTCACACATACCAGGATTCCTTTATTATGTAACAAGTTGCTGAATAGCAGCAGCCAGCCATAGAAACTAAATGTCCAGTAATTATGCTGTAGTTTGACGTTTCTTCTGTTTCAGCCAAACCACAAAACCTCAAAAGACAAAAAAGCTGCATAAGAACAGTGTACCAGGAAATACACTTTTATAACTGTTCTGCTGTGATTACCAAGTGGATGCATTAGACAGTGTGGCATATTGTGACCATCCCATATCATCACCTTTTACTTTTTGGAAAAACCAACAAATATCCTAACGACAAACAACATTAAGATGACTGTTTCATGGATTATACTACTGCTTCTCTGTCAAGGATGCACTTTCTACTGCAGTATGTACCAAATATTTATTATTTGATTATTTTGTTAGCAGCAAAATAATTTTTAAGTCTAGTAAGGGAAGGTGACCATTTTTCTCTTAACAGTTAGTATATAATATTATAACAAATGTAAAGCAATTTTATATTTGCAGCTCTTGTTCATGATTGTGTATATTTTAAAATATTTTGTCTCGTCTTTGTTCCATAATTATAGTGTTATATATTCAGATTATTACTGTGTATAATGCAGTAATTACACAGTATATTGTCCTTCTTTTTAAAATTCAGATGCACTGGTGTCAGTGACTACAGTTCAACTTGGTGAGCCTGTGACCTTCACATGTTTTTACCCTCATTGGGAGTACAGTAATACACGAGTCAAGTGGTACAAACAGAGTATTGGTGATACTCTTACATTAATTACTACACTGATGAAAGCTATTGCAAATCCTACATATGAACAAGGGTTTCCACCCTCTCGATTTGATGTAAACGATACCACAGCCTTCACCACTCTGACCATTAAGAAGACAATGCAAGAAGATCAGGCAGTGTATCACTGTGCGGTCTCTACCTGGAGTGAGGATCAGTGGAGTGGCACATACTTGTTTTTCAAAGGTGATACATACCTCTGTGTAAAACTGCAAATATCACATTTTTGTGTGTTTTAACCCTATTAACTATTAACTATTTTAACTCACTCTTTTTCCAGGACCAGAACTTCATATCACTGTCTTTCAAGACTTCCCATCTGATCCAGTTCGTCCAGGAGACTTGGTGACTCTGCAGTGTTCAGTTCTCTTTGACAACAAAACATGTCTACAAGAACACAGTGTGTACTGGTTCAGAACCAGATCAGATGACTCTCATCCCAGTGTCATTTACGCTCATTTAAACAGTGGTGATCACTGTGAGAGGAGTCCTGAGATTTCCTCTTCACAAAAATGTGTCTACAACTTGTCCAGGAACGTCAGCTCCTCTGATGCTGGGACTTATTACTGTGCTGTGGCCACGTGTGGTGAGATATTATTTGGAAGTGGAACTAAACTGGAGATTGAAGGTATCTGTATTCTGTTTAACTGTTTCTCTAAATGGCATATTTGATTTTAAGTTTTTTTTTATCCATACAGGTAAATTTAAGCAAATGTTTTTGACAAGTAAAAATCCTCCTAAGTGGAGTTACATATTGATTTCATTTTAATGATAAATATTAACTTTTTCTTCCTTTTCATGTTTCAGAAACCAGCTTGTGGTTCTTTAGTGTTTTACTGAAGGACAATATAATTCTTCACCTGCTGTGTGCTCTCTTGGCTATAAGTGTGATTGTTATAGCCTTCCTCATTTATGCTGTCAAGAAAACCAAGTGTGACCATTGCAACGGTAATAAAACAACTCATGTTAATTTGTTAATATTAATTTCATTAGTAGTAACATAACTGTTTTAACTGCAGCTGCTGTTTTCCTTCAAGAAAACGTTGCAAAAAGGAATTTGAAGGTAAGATAAGTTTAGCAAAAGTTATAAAGTATTTTGATCTGTATTTCTCATCTCACTTAATTTGCAATACATTTTCTCAGACAGGTGAGGACATGCGGGTTTACTCAGCTGTTGTCTTTACCATGCTGAAAACTGGCAGTGCAGGAATGAGAAATCCAAACGTGACGGACAGAGAGAGGATCTATGCTGCTGTCAAGGCTTTTGGGTTGGATTAGCAAGTGGAATTGTTTGAGATCATTTAGTGCCATATGTGCAAGCTGGCGGTTTAGAGGTGGGTATTAGTAATTCTTTTTTTATTAATACTAGGTATCAGGAAGCTGTACACAGGGTATATATGTTTGGGTTTAATCTCTTTGTGTGTTTAAAACTAAAGTTCAGCTGTACATTTCTAATATTTTTATAGTAAAGGCCAGTGTTGTTGTGCTGGTCAGTGATATGCATGACAGGAAAAGCTTCTGCAGTCAAAATGAAAGAGCACAAAAAGTAAGTTATAGGTCTGACCCATGGTCTTGATAATGACTGTGTGAGTGTTGAGATGTATAAAAAAGTGTTAAAGTACTCTATATTCACTTTTACCTGTTGTTGCTGTTGTGTGACCACACTGTTATCTGTGTGGTTCTGGGTGTTAGTAAATAAAACATACTTTCCTGTACCACATTTATAATGCTGATATGACAGTGTGTCAAAAGAAGATTTTTTTGGGTGACCTTGACATAACACAACTTGTAAGAGCCATGTTCAACTGCTCATTCATGTGTTTTTATAAACATATATACGGTACATAACATTCAAATTGTAGCCATACCTATAGGACGTTTCTCCAAGAAAAAACCTAAAAACCCAGAAAACAACAGATTGCTCACCAGAGATACATTCTGGATAGCATTGTGCCACATTGCAGTGGTACAGTGGTGTACAATATATTAAAAAACCAACTATGTGTTTTTCCTGCTTCATGCAACACCTGGAGGTTTCACACACACGATTTTTTTGTCTAAAAGAAATTCTGCCTGGAACATTTCAAATGAGGATCAGCGTTGATTTTTAGTTAGTTTTTTTTTAAACTTCCTATACAAACACTGTTTTCTGGATAATTTTTTATACTTTATTAATCCCCATGGGGAAATTTCTTTCTAATGGCGGTGCTGACAGTCGCTGCCTGGCCATCAGGGGGTACTAGGTGCTCAGTGTCTGGTCCAGGGACGCTTTGACATGTGGCCTGGGGACACCGGGAATCAAATCGCCACCCTTCTGATTTGCTCTACCTCCTGAGCCACAGCCACCAGGTAGAATGCCAAAAGTACTTTCTGCACAGTAATAAAGGGAATAATAGCATGATTGATTTTATTAGCACTGAACTCAGTAGTAAGACAGGTGCAGTCCAGTTTGGAGTTAATATTTTAGACATGTTAAATACATATTTTCTTCCTGAGACACTGATGCTCACATAGTTTTGGTGTCAACTTTACCATCATGCAGTTTGCCAACTTTGTTTATTTGAAACAATGTGGTTATAAACAAAGTCATTATGAACAAAATCAAGAGGTCAAAAGGTCATCTAGTCCAGTTCAGCCCCGTTATTTGCACAATAATTATCAGCCATGAAGAGATGTGTGCCAATGAGCTGGCTGATGTTCTGACCTCCATCTTAAATCTCTTCCTCAGCCAGAACACTGTTCCTTCTTGCTTTAAGACCACAACCATCATCCCCCTTCCCAAGAAGAGCCCACCCACCTGCCTGAATGACTACAGGCCAGTGGCACTCACTCTGATCATCATGAAGTGTTTTGAGAGAGTGGTTCTGGCCCGCATTCAGAGCAGTATATCGGACCCCCTGGACCCCCTACAGTATGCCTACCGGCCCAACAGGGCCACCTCAGATGCTATCGCTGTTGCCCTTCATTATTCACCTTGCAACCTTGAAAATAAAGACTCCTACATCAGGATACTCTTTATCGACTACAGCTCCGCCTTCAACACAGTTGTCCCCCACAAACTCACCCACAAACTGTCCACACTAGGTCTGCACCCCACCCTCTGTTACTGGCTCCTGGACTTTCTGACTGGCAGGCCCCAGACTGTCAGAATTGGCAATAGGATCTCAGACAGCATTGTTACAAACACTGGCACCCCACAGGGATGTGTCCTCAGTCCCATCCTCTACACCCTGTTCACCCACGACTGTGTCGCCTCCCACAAAGACAACGGTGCAAGGACAATAATCTCAGCCTCAACACAGACAAGATGAAGGAGATGATAGTGGACATGAGGAAGGAGAGGAGATCTCATCAGCTACTGTTCATCCAGGAGCTTAAAGTGGAGAGGGCGTCCACATCAGTGAGGACCTCACTTGGACACTTAATACCACACAGTTGGCAAAGAAGGCCTAATAGCGGCTGTACTTCCTGAGGAGGTTTGGCATGTCGCCTAGGATCCTCAGCAATTTCTACAGCTGCATCATCAAGAGCATCTTGACCAGCTGCATCACCATGTGGTACCACAACACTACTGCTATGGACCGCAAACACCTGCAGAGGGTGGTGAAGGCTGCTGAGAAGATCACAAGGACTCCATTGCCCGCTCTGCAGAGCATCTACCACCGCAGAGTCCACAGGACAGCTACCTCCATCCTTAAGGACCGCACCCACCCCCAGCATGGACTGTTCACACCTCTACGCTCAGGCCGGTGCTACCAAAGTGTGAAATGCAGGACTTCTAGACTCTTTTTTTCCCACTGCCATCAGACTCAAACAGTTGACAGGAGTTTATAATCTTGGACTACTTCATGTAACTGCACTTGATTGTTTACATTTTCATTTTGTACATGTGTAATCGCACACTTATTGCTGACTGTTGCACATACAGCTGATGTAGCTTGTATTTCTAGTATATTTTTCACATGTTGTTTTTAAAATTGCTTTTATTTTGTATTATAATTTATCTATTTTATACTTAAACTTATATTCTTTGGCATTTGTTGTTGCAAAAAATGGGAGAAAAAAAGTTAGTTAAAAGCTGCACTTACACACTTAACCTAGAAGAATCAAAGCAGCCAGTCATTGTGATAAAGCACCTTTCTCTTGCACTGCTGTTGTCTTTCTGCCCAAAGGAAGGTTTAGTCACAAGAACAAAGTGGAAACTATCCTGATTGGCTGAAAGCCTAAAAATACACTCCACCCCCAAATGCAGCAAATTCATGATACATTTTTCATGACTTTTAGATCTACATGACTGTCAGTTGCTATTTCTACTTTGAAGGAAAGCTGATATTTCCAAAGCAGTTTCAATTCAGGTTCGACTACAGCCTTTTAGTTTTTGTTTGTCATAACCAGTTTTTTACAATTAATATATAATGATATTGTTAATCTGGTTTCACGCCATCATCTATTAAAATGACCTGTCTTTTTCTTGTCCTGCATTTCTAATGAGAAAGTTGTTTATAACTTAATAGACCATTAAGATTCTCTTGAAAGAGAGAGATGAAAAGAGAGCACGCCGACACACCTGCTGTGTTCAGAGTGTAGCTGTCTATACATTTGTCGACCACAACTTCCCCTGAATGCAGAGGAATTGGGGGATTTGATGTTGTTTAAAAGCAAAGTAATAAATAATGTAATGCATAGCATTTGCTGCCGAGTAATTAGCCATGTATTTTTTTAAATGAGTAATTATAGATTTCAGGTAACTTGTCCAACACTGGTCTGGTGCTAATGCTTAGGCCCACAGTACGATGAAGAAGCAAATGGTGTTTGTAGTACTGAGCTGCAATCACTGTAATTATGCCAAAGTCAACAAGATGCTTCTACCACTCTTAATTTATGTTACACAGTCTGTTTCCTTTTCCTGTGCAGAGTTTTTCACAATTTGTAACTTCCCATAGGGGATGGCCATGTACTGATTTTACATTTCCTATTTGTAAAATGTCCTTAGAAGAAGCTGCAGTAGTTGAAATAAAGTGTATGGCTATCTAAAGGTAATCTGTTTAAAGAATGAATTGTTATTACAGTAGAAAATGCATTAATTTTGCAAGAGAGAGAGCAAACAGACACAACAGTGGCTTTGATGAATTGTCTGTTTTTTATTGTCCACTGCAATGTTTTACAATTTAAGATAAGCTAACAAATAGAAGCAGGGAGCTTTTAAACTTGTAAGTACCGTCAGTTTGTTTCAGGTATATTTTATGACTGCGGTAAATAAAATTCTGGAGGTGAGTACTCTGTGTTTGTAGTATCAACGGTTTGTAAAAGCAATTTGCAGTGAAAACAACAAGCAAAGCTACACACAGCACCTACACTGACAGCAGAAGTTGTGGTGGGCCATTTTCTCTGCCTTTGACCAACCACTGAAGCTGTTTACTCAGAAGAGACCCGACTATGGGCTTCAACAGGATGTGTAGTGAGAGCAGAGGTGTAAGAAGGGAAACCCTGCAAGAAGCATTAGAAAGCTTTAGATGAACCAGTAAGAAGATTAACAGTCATGATTAGTCTGCTTACATGCTCCAGTGTTCAGCTGTAGTCTGTATTTGTATGATTCATCAAAGGATGTTAGTTAATCCTTTATTCAAACAACATTTAAACTGCCAGACAGGCAGCCTTTGTAGGAAGTTAGTAACTATCAAGCTCAGTCTTTATCAAGTGATCTTAGGTCAAGGTCAAAGTGTTTATTTGTCATATGCACAGTTAGGAAACATGTTTCCCTGTACAATGAAATTCCTACTTTGCCGTCCACATGAATGCCACATAAAACAAGTGAAATATAAAGTAGATGAGCAATAAAGCAAATCAAAATAGGCAGTAACGCAAATCTAAGGCACTTTAAACCAACAGGTGAAGGAAGCAAATAAAAATACAACAGGAACACAATATAATGCAGAGTGTATTACGCAATTATGCATGTGAAAAATGAGTATGTAAATGGTACAGATGGAATTACATGAGGTAGATCCTGAGGCAGCTGTTTAGGAGTCTGATGGAAGTTGGAAAGAAAGAGTTTTTCAGACTAGAGGTCCTGCATTCCACACACCTCAGCCTCCATCCGGAGGGTAGGGCTATGAACAGTCTTCCATGCTGGGGATGGGAGGGATCTTTGAGGATGGAGGTAGCCTTCCTACGCACCCTGCTCTGCAGAGAGGGCAGTGGAGTTTTACTCGAGCAGATTTAAACAAGATTAAAACCTTTGCACAAGAAAAACACACTCAGCATTAAAACAGCAAGTA